CTCAATAAACCTCATGCTCGATGACCGACAAGAAATATAGAAGTTGTCGATGTACAGCTCGTTCGCGAATTTGTGGAGTAATACAATTGATTCTAACACAGAAGACACTCAAGACACAACCTTGAAATAGTCCAAGTTCCTGTGTGAATAGTGCGAAAGGGTCGAACTCACACATACTTGGAAACACCTGTCAAGCAAAATTACATACTTCCACGTAGTGTCATAGTCCTTCTCAAGATTGAAGGAAACAGACAAAATGTTCTCTCTTGAGGAAGGCTTCCCTGATTGAGGTTTCAAGTCGAATCAGGTGGTCCATGGTGGAGTGCTGTTGATAGAACCACCATTGGGTTGGCGAGAGGAGGTTGTTTGATTTAAGGAACCAAACAAGGTGTGCATTAACCATCCTCTCCAAGATCTTACAGAGATAGCAAGTTAAAGCAATTGGATGATAATTAGAAGGGATCCTGGGCACTTGGGATCCTTCCCAGGATTTGAAAAAGTAGAACAAATACATTTCGCCAAGCACTAGGAAAAACATAGTGATTATTTATGTAGCAAAATGATTTACTACAGAATTTATTAACTAGATATTAAAATTAAAGTTAGTGAAACATGCATTATATATGTATAGAAAGTTTGTATGTTAAAAAGTGCCCTTTTCAGAACATAAAACTTAAAAATAAGAGTCGTTGTTTGTTATTAAGGAGAAAGTGCTATCTATGCTTTTGTTCACCACGGGTATCGAAACACGGTTTCTAGTGGTATAAGTCCGCAGACATACTGCTGTGCCACTGAGGGGCAAAAATTATAGAACAAAAACAATAATCTGTATGTTAAATCATTTAATATTTATAAAAACATTAGGTATGATAAAATTATTTCATGACATATAATTGTAAATTATTTATCTTGTTCAAATGAATGTGTGATAAAACTGACTTGTGTAACACTGCTATAAGAGTTTTATCATTAAATAATAATTTTACTTAGGACATTGATCATGTAATTACATGTTAAGACACATTGAAAAACAATTTGCCCTAGTAGCACAATATATATTTAGAACACCATCCACCTTTGTAAAACATGAGTAAACGATAATTATAAAGTAATGAGTTCAAAATGATTATCATTAGTTTGCATGTTAAATAAACGTCCTTTTCAGGGGCCCGGCATGGCCAGGTGGTTAGGACGCTCGACTCGCAATCTGCGGGTCGCGGGTTCGTATCCCCATCCCACCAAACATGCTCGCCCCTTCAGCCGTGGGGGCGTTATAATGTGACGGTCAATCCCACTATTCGTTGGTAAAAGAGTAGCCCAAGAGTTGGCGGTGGGTGGTGATGACTAGCTGCCTTCCCT